AAAAATAAGATGCGTGGTTCATTGAATGGTCTTGATTCCAACAACAGGACACAGGATCAGTTGGATGATACTGTGGCCAGTCGTAGGTTGCAGGGTAAGTTTGATAGTTTTCATAACAATAGTGGGATGTAGGGTAAGTTTTATGGTTTTGTAGCCAGTCGTAGGTTGCAGGGTAAGATTGATGTAAAGTTTTCTTATGTCCACTTCAATCTTCTGCGGTAAAAGTACACATTCTTTAAGCCTTAATAGAAGATTAAATTACTTTCATAAACTTAAGCAATTTCATAAAGGAATAAAAAAAAAGATATTTGATAATTCTTTAATATTTTAAGTGTTTTGGTTTTTATTATTGTCAGCTTACTGATTAAATTGGCTGAAACTACTTGCACCACAAGACGGAGAGTACGAAGGTACAAGAAATAGGCATTTCGTTTATCTGAACACATTTTAAAAGCTACCTCCAACACTTCGGGGAGCGTACTCGACTCAGGGGGGCAGTTGTCGACTTAACTTAGCTGTAAATACTTGCACCACAAGACGGAGAGTATGTAGCACTCTAAAACACTCCGACTTTTACCCACACTTCTCTTGAGCTACTTTGATCGAAAAGTATGAATTGACCGTCACTCTTACCACGCACTCACGCCCCCAAAATGCGGAGAGGGATTTTGTGGCAAAGGGACATGAAACATAAACCCTTTGATTCAAAGTCTGAGTACAATAATAACTAAGTCACGTCGCCCTATTAGTGTTGAATATTATTTAATGTTCCGATTAAAGTTAAAATCAATTACTGTTGAATGTTATTTAATGTTCCGATTAAAGTTAAAATCAATTATGTTGAATGTTATTTAATGTTCCGATTAAAGTTAAAATCAATTACTGTTGAATGTTATTTAATGTTCCGATTAAAGTTAAAATCAATTACTGTTGAATGTTATTTAATGTTCTAATTAAAGTTAAAATCAATCACTGTTGAATGTTTAATGTTCCGATTAATGTTAAAATCAATTACTGTTGAATGTTATTTAATGTTCTAATTAAAGTTAAAATCAATCACTGTTGAATGTTTTTAATGTTCCGATTAATGTTAAAATCAATTACTGTTGAATGTTATTTAATGTTCCGATTAATGTTAAAATCATTTGATCAGTTTCTTCCTTTCAGCAACAGAGTTATAAAGTGATTCATGCACGTGATACTTGTGTTGTTATTGTTGTTGGTAGAATTTTCACACAAAGTTACAAAAAGGCTATTTCTGCGCTATACGTCCCTAATTTATAACTGACAAACAAAAGGGAAGGCAACTAGTTAACTTAATTTTTTGGTTTAATCTTGTTCGATCGAACGGTGGGACTTAACCGTCACTCTTTTAGTGTGGGCACGTTTTTGCAGCAAACAGACGCGAACTATGAATCCTTGGATTCACACTCTGGACACATTAACCACTAGGATAAACTTCAACCCATTAGCTTTTATGACATTTTATTGTCTGATAAAGTGATTTAATGTTAACATTAGAAGGCCAGTTAGACATTCGTTACGCGGACCTCTGGTACAAATACCGTTCACAATGCTAGATTTACGTCTGTCGTTTCGCCTTTTAACCACAGCTGGTTTTGGCTTTACAGGAATAATATTTAGTAATCTGTGTGGTCCGAAAAAACAAGTGGCTTTTGAGAAGTTATGGCGACCTTCATTTTCAATTTTCATACTCTTATGTGTTATCCAGTCATGTCTTGAGCAAGATGTTCATACAAGTTTTAAACCAAATGAAATGTCTTTACTGCTGCATCTATATTGACTTTAGCAAGAGTTAAATGACATATTAGTCATTTACTTTGTTTTTTTGCAATTCGTCAACTTTAAGGTGATGCAATTAGTGAAAGTGTAGACCAGCAGACAAGCTCAAAAGTAGGCTTACTTTTGTAAAAGACTAAACCAGGATTACTCCGTGCATCATTGTTTACGCAGCAGCTGTGTGTTGTTGTCTCTCCTATTGTTGTTAACAAGACAGAACACTGTGTGTCGGTCTGTTTATGCATATTAATATATCTAAACTGCTCTTTTCCACTGTTGGTTAATAGAATGATTAGGGAAAGATGATTATCATCTTAATTATGTTTGGTTGTATGGTGATTGAACCCCTTGAAGTCGCAACAATGAAAGCACTATTTCGCCACTTGGTGTCCTATCTGCTTTAAAATATAATACAAGAAACTAAAGCTTAAACACTTCAACATTACAAAGATTGATCAAAATTTAAAAAAAAAGTATACAAAAATTAAAAACATGAAGGTTAGTTTAATTCACTTGACACGTGTTTCATTCTCTTAATATTAGAAAGTTAATTATATTACTGTTTGTCTAAAATATTATTATTAAAATATTCTTCAAAAATGCATTCTTGTCAATTTTATTTACGATCTCATAAATATATTTTTTTGTTCATTCTGACTGTTAGTCCTTAATAAAAAAAATAATATTTCACGCGGCCATCACGCCCAGCTCACAGACCATTCCTGAATGGCTCGTTTCGCTGACACGTAAAGCAATTAGTCGACTCTATCCAAAACCAAACACAAAAACGTAGAGGCGCCAGCACGTTCCGGAGCACAATATATTTATGTATAAACGGTGGTATTATTCAGATAAATTATAGAGAAAATGGTCATTAAACTAAGCACCGAGTAATGATTGAGGATCTGTGTTTTATTGGTAAATAGAGTATATTATCTCAGTAAAGTAGTAACCACTGCTTGTTTATTTGTGTGTGTTCTTAACAACTGAAAAGTTGACTTACAGTCTAGCAGATGGATATGTAGATACGTCCTTCATCAGTTATTTCAAGTTTATCTATCTCAACTACATCCATGTACTTTATATCTAATACATATCTTACTTGTTCTTCGGAACCTATACACATATATATATACATTCATGTAAGTCAATAGTACAATTAAACACCACTGTCCTGTCGTATATATACATTCATGTAA